TTTATAAAAATAAATAACTAAAAATATTTAAAGTTAGTTATTGTTTTTAGATTTTTATTAAATTCTATAATTATTTGAATAAAATAATAAAAAATCAATAAAATTGTAAGCATTTATATACATTTTTGTAAACAGTTATATATATTATATATATATATTTAGAAGTCCTTTAATATCTACCCTAAAAGATTACTTTTCTTGAATCTTTAATGAAACAGAAAAATTTTTTAGAAACTTGCATAATGCAATGTCCCTAAACATATTACTAATTACTAAATATATATTATATATTTGTCAGATTTTATGAGTATTGTTATTCTGGAAAGCGTGCTACAGCCACTTGGTGCACTATAATTTGTGTCTCAATCAGGATTAAAAATACAATAAATTAAATTTTATAATAGGGAAAAGAAAAAACTTTTTTATGTGAAAAATCAATTGGTTAAATTTCAAATATATAGATAAAATACATATTATTTACATATAAACTTTTATTTCCATATGTAGGCCTAAACTTTTAATATTAAGGAATATTAGTAATATTTAAGTGTACTTTAGATCATCATTTAAATAGCACACAAAGTTATAACGAATATTTTATTCTATTCGAACGATAGAAAACCTGAAGATGGTCTAAATTAGATCGAAACTACTGGTTAAAATTAAAATTTTATGCTTAGGTACACCGAGCCCTTCAGGATATATACCTACTCCTAGCCCAGCTGGAATGCAAGCAACTCCTTCTCCAACAGGTTATAATTACAGTCCTACAACACCTGGAGCACCATCTCCTTTCAATCCTCAGACTCCTGGTGCAGGTAATTTTAAGTTTATTAATGTAAATCTTAAATTTACAAGATTTGGTTAGAATAGCAAAAGTCAGACATTTTATGCATACTCTCATGATTGTTTGCTTTTCAATTATAATTTTATGCTCAAAAATGATTTGTGTTATGCAGTATTGTTAAATAGATTAATAATAATAATAATGTGACCAAAGGGTCAGCACCAGATCGGCAATGCCGACATCAGGACTGACACCACTGTGTCTTTTAGGGTAGACATAGAAACCTCAATGGCCTTTCGTTCTTTTCATGAGCAGTCAGGTTCGGAAAGTTGGATGTTCGAGAGACAATGCGACTGAAAGAAGTGCACACTACAACTTAATTATAAAGGAATAATACCCGTTTATTTATGAAAACTGTTTACACATATATATAGGATAACAGAGTTCTGTTATAGCTTTTATATAGCATCATATAATGGATAACACTTGTATAACGTAACATACTGGATAAGGCAGATATAGCATAACATAATTGATTAAGCTTTATANCAACACTAAAATATAAATTAAATGGATCCCCATTTATGTTTTTTTTTTTTTTACGACAAAAATTATAAGTTTTGATTCTCTTTGGCACACCAGTTTTATTACAATGTTTTCTGCATTTTAACAAGCATTTTATCTGTGATTGATCAAAAATGATGTTAAATACCAACCAACCAATGATGTTAAATACAATATAATTATTAATGTTAATAAGAGATGGTGCCTAACGCTTACCTCTAGAGCCAAATTGGTCACGTAATTCATTTAGTAATTAGCCTTATACTAGCCCGATAGATATTCGGCATTCGGTTGGTATTTAGCTATATTATATATTGGGTTTAGCAATGTTTGTACAAAAATGATGTATTGATTGACTTGTTGGCCATGTCTGTTACACAATATAACAGCTAGGAAAGTAAAAATAGTTAAATACTTTTATGAATCTAGGAATACTTTTACTAACAAACATGTTTTCATCTTAATTTATAAGCCATTATTAATTACTATTTGAAAAATTATAAAATTGAGTAAAACGTGTATTAAATCACATATTTGGCTATTCTTTAAATATAAGGTATTCAAGTAAAGTATGAAATTTATGATTTTAATTTATATATTTTCATGGTAAACTTTTTAAAGCAAACATAAATACAAGAGACAAAGTATATTTTACACATTCTTGAATAGTTAATGTGTGATGGATTTCTATTCTCACTAATTATAGATGAATTGCATTATGTTCTGCCACAGTTTTTTGAACCAGATAAAGCTATTAAATTAATGCTGTATTATTTGTTACGTTGTAGAATTTTATTATTAATTTTTTATATATATTTCTGAAATACTCTTGAAATGTAATCTATATGTGAAGTACTAGATTAAGTTGTGTTGTTAACTGAAATTCTTTAGATTTCTAGTTTGAAGTTATCTAGTGGTTTTCTTATCATATTCATGTATTACATCAAAGTAAAATATTAATTATTAAAACAAATTATATATAAATTTTATGCTTATTAACATACACAAACAAACAAAAAGACCAATTAGTAAAAGGTTTAAGATATTTGTTGATATTTCATTGTTAAGATTGTTCAGTTTCATTTTTTTATTATTGAAATTTAAGTTATTAGAAATCAAAATTGGCCTGAACTGCTCTTAATATAAATTTACTCAATGTTACATTACACATATTGAAGTTGCTATCAATATTTCATACTTTTATTTCGTTATATATAGTGACTCCAGTTTACCAGGTTTTTTTAAAAAATTTAAATAAACATTTGGCTGGCAGAACTTTACAAATATATTGGGTCACATGAGCAAAAAGCTTGAAAGATGCTGGGCTAGCATATACACCTGGCAAGAAACATTCCACCATTAGGTTCTTGTCATTTCTAATCAATGTAAAAATGTTGAACTTCTCCTGTAAGCAATCCTAATTTTAGTCACCTTGGCAATTTTCTTATAAATGTTAGACAGTCATATTGTATGTAATCACCTTTAGTTCATAAGCCTGGTCCTTGGGAAATGTATTGTGGGGTACAGTATCTTAATGATGGTCTCTGGATAACTATGTTCTGCTTTTGAGGAACCACAATTTCTCTTCACTCTCATGTAAGGGAGAGAGTGTGTGAACATTAATCTCTTTACTGGTTTTGTGTATGTATTTTCATTTCATACAACTAGTTTTTGAAGTAGTGAATGTTTTATGAATATTTTTGATATACTGTATTTAATCTTAACAATAAAGTTGTATGATTTAGATAAATTAATTTAATAGTAAATCTTTATTAAAACTTTCTATAATCTTATAACTTTTCATATCTGTTTCATATAGTCCTCAAACAGTTGGAGTAATTGTACGATTAGAAAAGGAATACTTTCAGGTTTTAAACATGCATGGAAAGGTTTGTTAAATAATTCTAATTACTCACCTTAATGTAATCAAATTACATAAATTATTATTGTACATAAACTAATTTTTATTTATTCCAGCTAGTAAAAGTTAAGCATCAGTCAGTAATGAAAAAACCTAACACAAGAAGAGCAGTTGCTCTAGATTCGGAGCAAAACCAAATTCAAGCAAGAGATATAGTTAAAGTTATCGATGGTCCACATTCTGTAAGTAAATGAAAAATTTAATTGATTTAAATTAAATGTGAATTACTTTATCTTGTCTGTTAGTGTTTGGTTTGCACAGTTACTTATAAAATACTTTTAAATAGAAACAAATACAGGTTAACATTATTAACAGAAATGTTTAAAAGTTTAATGCATTAAATTTCCTAATAGGGAATTTTTAAAACAAATGTAATTCATTTACAAGTTTAATTACACCTTTTAATAGTTTAATAATGTTTAATGATTAATCATTTAAATTTTTTGAGACTAGTTTTATCTTCGGTACCTTTACTTTTCTGATTTTTAATGAAATAAAATTATAACATATGATTTAATGATGTATAATAATATATTATGTTATGAATTTTTTCATATAACATTTAAATATTATAAATATTATAGAAAAGGAAAAAAATGAGATTTATAAAAACAGTTAATATATTTAAAGTCATTAAAAATCAAAGTAGTATACTCATGAATCTATATACGACTTGTACAGCAATAAAAAAAAGGGGGGCTTATTAAACTGGTAAAAATTAATGTTTTTGGTCACCAAAAACATTGATTATTTTGAATGATCTTTATCTACACAAATACTGAAGGAAATAGAACGGAAATATATGCAAGTGCCAAATGTATTTTAAAATAAAAAAAATTGACTTTCTGCTACGTCATTATGACGTGTGCAAAAAACTAATAGACAAAAATAATAAATTATAACACAATGAGCATTTTGTTACTTTGTGTTTAGGTCCTTGTAGTTGACAGTAGTTTCTCTTAATATTGATTTATAGATTTTGAAGACTACTGCATGTTCAAGGTGGTGATTATTTCTGATACACTTGGTGACATTAGTTTTGTCCCTATGAACATTGTAAAAAGTACACTAAACCAGAAAGTTTTTTAAAGTAAAAATCAAATAAGACATATTGTGGAAATGTAAGATATTTTTCAGATTTCAATAATTTCTTAATGTCCCAAAATTCAATTTTTGACATTTGAAAATTCAATAAGTTTGATATTTAACTGAGAAACTTTCTTTTTACAAAAAATTCTTTTCATATATTTATAAAGTAGTTATTAGAATCACTTCACAAAAATAGTCTGCAGTATTCCATGTTTTTTTTATAATTCACAATACTTAACAATTTGAAGTAGCCAAAAATTAAGATTTGACAGCATATTATCAGTCAGTGTTGAAATAAACAAATTCTCAGTTTTCCATTTTTAATATCTGTTTTATTTTTATTAAAATTGATTGATTAAATATAATTATGTCAATATTCCTATTTAAAATTTTTTAGGGTCGGCAAGGTGAAATTAAACACCTCTATAGAAGTTTTGCATTTCTTCATTCACGTATGCTGCTGGATAATGGTGGAATTTTTGTGTGTAAAACAAGACATTTAGTACAGGCTGGTAGTTCAAGAGTAAGTTTGTTAAATGATTTTTTTCAATATAATTATGTAATAGTTTAATAGTGCAAAACATGGATACATACAGAATTATTTAAAAAGTAAATTGTTACATAAAAGTTTGTGAATCGTGTTTATAGTTGATAAATATTCAGAAGTTTTATGTTTAAGAAATTGAGTAATGTGAGAATATTAGTTAGTTCATAATTTATTTTGTATACTAGTACTTCCTATGTATTAACAGGACTTATTATACTGGAACAGGTGAACTAAATAAATAACATTATTTTTGAACTGTAAGACTAAATATCTGCATCCATAATTTTCCAGTATAATAAGTCCTGTTAATACATAGAAAGTACTAGTATACAAAATAAATTATAAATAGATAAAAAAAAAAAGGACAAAAAGGCATAATAATTAGTTAGTTCATTTTAATAAAACATGAAACTTCTGAATTAGTAAAGTATCTTGAATCTAGTTAAAGTATCCATCAAATTTATTATTAATTACAAAATGATATTGTATATTTAAAAAAAAAAATGACAATATTGTAACTTTTTGAATATAAGTAAATTATTATGCAATAAAATCATTTATTATATAATACGGAGATTATCAACTGATTATGTAGATATTAAAGAAATATAAGATAAAACTGGTACTCAGCTGAATTAATCAATGCATCTTTTATAGTGAATGAACTTAAATAATGCTAACATTTCAACCTGGTTAAAGAGCCATCTTTGCAAATGAATTTGCTGGAGATGGCTCATTAACAGGTGAAAAAATGTTACGGCTATATTCACAACCAAGGATCTATAGTTAGAAGTTAATAAGCATTCATGTACTGAAAGTAAAGAAAATGGTAATTGGTTAAATTCTAACTTGCAATCTTTTGTTGCAAATACAGTAGAGCGGTAAAAAATAAAAAATTGCCAGGACAAATTATGACATTTATAGAAAATATATTTCGTTTTGACTATACATACATAGATGAATCTTTGTCAATTTTCTGTCCCTTCACATACTGTACGAGGCAATAACAATTCATACAGCTTGTGAAGAGAGAGAAAATTGACAAAGACTCATCTATGTATGTATAGTCAAAACGAAATATATTTTCTATAAATGACAGTAGAGTGTTGTTTATCCAAAAGTCGGTCAACCAAAACTTAAATGCTTTCAGTTAACTGAGTTAACTGAGTTAACTGAAAGCATTCCAGTCTGCAAATTTAAATTTCTGCTAGTGCTGTGGTGCTGCAACCTTTGGCTATGTCTTGGGCTACTCCTATATTTTTTTTGTTGGTGTGTGTGTTTTAGCTGGCAGCACTAGCACTTTTGTGTAGTGTTTTTCTGAGGACTGTGCGTCGTGCTGAATCAAATGTCTTTTGATACTAGATTAACTTGTAAAGTATTTATTTATTTATTTTTTTCAATATATTTATTTTGTCTGTACAAAATAAAGACATAATTTTTAACAATACAATAGCCACAATTATTATTATTATAAAAATTTCGTTAGGCTTAACATTGATAAAAATTCAACACGAAGCGACATGCAATGGAGAAAAATTTCAACATGGAATAGGTTAATATATTTTTTCGTACATAATTGATTATCTGAACAACCCCAGTCCCCAATTGATTTGGATAAACGACGCGCTACTGTATGGCAATTAGTGGTGTATGGCAACTTCACTCAATGTTAAAGTTGCATTGATTTTAATCTGTCTATCAAAGGGATACTGTGAGATTTTTGGGGAATATATCTTTAAAGCATTTACTAATTTTTCACTGTGAAGAACATGTATATTCTGTATCAGTCAATGACAATGATGCTAATTAGCATTATGCGTTTCTTTTTTAATTTGTGTGTGTTTATTGTTGTATTAACAAACTTTAATACATTATATGGATTAATATGGAATAACAAAAACATTTTATTAAAAATTCATTAATAATTTGAAGATGTTAATTCATAATTATTCTCTTTATACAATTTGTAGAAACATTTCTTCATTTAAAAATTGAGATTCTGATAGATAAATGTGAGAAAATACTATTAAAGACTATCTATCTATTAAAATTTTGATGTAATATACCCCTTGATTTTGATGCCCTCTTTAAGCCATATTACTATTTTCAACCAATTGTGAATATTTGTATGTTAGTTCCTGGTGACACATGAAATGTGTTACCAGGAACTAACATACAAATGTGTTACCAGGAACTGACACATGAAATCTGTTACCAGGAACTAACTACAAATATTCAATATTCAGAACTGATACTAAAAAAGTGACTCCGGTATCACTTTTTTGGTATCAGTTCTGGAAATAAGTAGTGCAGTATAACAATCCTATAATTTTTTTCACTTCAGTTTATCTTTGCTCTCTATACATACTTTCATCTTTAGTTTTTTTAAAATTACATTAATTTGAAATGATAGACCCCAACAAGCATAAACAGAATATGTTAACTTTTGAAACAAAAAGCATTGAAACATGTTGATAATGGAGAACCTGAAAAACAGATATGTAATGATCTGAGATCTGGAAAAATAATAGTGAATGATTGACAGATAAACTGAAAATCCCAAGATTTTGGGATGTGAATAGAATCTGGAAGCTTGCTGACAGGTATACTATGAAGAAACCAAAAATTGAAGCTGTTGTTGATGCATTATTGATATGGTTCATGCAAATACAACAGGTAAATATCTCTTAATTGTCTGTTTTTGAAAGCAAAGGCAGAGCATTTGCCAGCAGAAAATTCTTAGTAAGGAATTCTTTTGCATTGGAAAAACACTGCTAGAATTATCTGTTTGTACATAGAGATTGACATCAGATCAAGATTCTGCAAGTGATTTTTAAAAGGATACATAAGGAAAACATTAGTTCTGTAAAACTGTATAGTTTGGGTAAATTTAAGCTTCCTGAAAGCACTTGTAGCATCACAAAATTATGAAATTGGTTTGTAAATAAAATCTTTTCTTGGAAGATACATAAGTTAGTCTGTTAATAAAAATAGCATCTTAGTTAGAAAGAATGAATGGCCTTTAAATGAAGCAAGAGATTTTGATCTGTGAGCTGATTTAAAGTTCGTTATTCTGTGCATGTTTAAAAATTTCTTGCTTTGTGGAATGTCATAAAATTTTCGATTTTCTAGTAAACAATACTACCTATATTGCAGATGGCTAGATGCCCAAGTGGTTTCAATTATCCTAATTTAATCCTAAGTCCTTCAGAGCAGTTGGCCAGATGGCCCAGATCAAATTCAGGTGGTTGAAAGACTTAATGAGATTTTAGAGGGTTTGTTCCTTACTGTCTGACCAAATTCATATTGGGTATGATCAAAAAGTGCTCACAGAGTAGAAAGTATTTATTTTTTTACAATCTTTACAGTATTAACAGATTTAAAAAATTCAGTTTAATATGCTTTCTTTACTGTAAAACATTATTTCTTTACAAATTAAAAAGGAAAATGCTCTTTTTTTTAATTTATGCTTATTAATTTTATTTGTAGGTATGGAACACAGCTTTTTATCTTCAGAATGGCAGACCACAGACATTGAAGTTTGCATTAAGCAGACTCACGACGATGCCGGATTAATTGGACAGACTGGAATTATACGTGGGATATCTGTGAGTGCCTCTTGCTCTTTTGATTCTCTGTGTAAGCACTCTATTTTAATATGTACATATTTGAATTAGGGCGGTATGTGCTCGGTGTTTCTACCCAAAGAAGATCGGGTGGTCAACATTCTCAGCGAACACCTGGAGCCTGTCGTTCCTTCTAACGGTGACAGGGTATGTAGTGAACAATTTGGTATAGAGACGCTCAAATTTTAAAACAAACTTATGACCACTATTTTCTAGGTGAAAGTAATTGAAGGAGAAGATAGAGAAATAACCGGTAAATTGCTCAGTATTGACAATAACGAAAGCGTGGTGAAGGTCGATCATGGAGACGATCTGAAAATGCTTCCTCTTGGTTTTCTGTGCAAAATGAAGTCAAACTAAAAGTTTTGAGTAAAATGTGAAAGTTTTTTATAAATGCTTTTTAGTTAATTTTTTTTTTGTTATTTCATTTTACTCATTTGGACATTGCAACAGATGGAAGTTCATTGGATTATAATCACTCATATTCACTTGTACATGTTGTAGAATCATTTAATAAAAAAAAACAAAAAATACTTTGAAGAATAAGATTATTTTATACACAATATTTTATAGAATATTGTCTTAAAATATTTTTATTATATTATTATTATTATTATTATTAGGATGGCCAATGAATTGCTGTCTTAATCACAAATGCTGTTACAAATGAATGAAATAGATAAGTTTTCTGTCTCATTGATTTCTAACAGTGTAGTAAGTTCTGTTTCATTAAATAAACGTCATTGATATGATATGTCTATATTTTCTGATTGTTGTAGAAGTATGTTTTTTAACAAATGGGATAAATAATTATAAACAAACAATATAAGTTATGTTGGATGGCCAAAGTGCTGAAGACCTTGGTGTACCACTCTGGGGAGTTTGAGAACCTCAGGAATCTTTTATGGGTGATTTGTTCCGGATAATATTTGGTCCTGTTTCTCACCATCTGGTCCTGCCATGAGCCTGGCCGAATTCAAGTGGTATATGGAAAAAGATCTTTTTGGTGCATTCATAGTGTGAAAAGTATTGTGTGTAGAAATGAGTTATTGTAAATATTAAATTATTACATAGGATGATTTACGGACCCTGATGCATTATGTAGGAGCTAGCAGACATAATACAATGAAAGGGAAAGTAATGGTATGTGTTTATTGTTAAAAGTATCTTTGCAGATATTCCCAGGTGTTCAAAATTTCTCAAAGGTACAGTTGAGCATTGTGTGGCATAGATATAGTCTGTGCAGAAACTGCTGTTGGCAGATGCATAGAGCTTTTTGTCCAATTCCCCTAGCCTCTCCATGATACACTATATCAGTGAGCTTAGCTGAATCATAGACACTCATCCTTAATTACTCCCAAGCAAACTGAACATCCATGGCACCATGCACAAAACACTTCAGACAGGTTGCAGAGCTTCTAAATGATGCATTGAGAAAATGGGTTGCTATGTGTAGTGTTCCTCTCTACAAGACTATCGTGCTGCAGAAATCCCGAATCATCTTTTATAACTTTTGATGGGAAATTATTTCAAAATTAATTCTAAGTTATAATGTAATCTTTCTTTCATCTCTAAAATCTGTTATTAACTGTCTAGAAGAAAAATCCAAATGAAAATACTTTACATATGACTAAAGTAAATGTTAATGAGCGAACTCTCGTGTTTTCAGATGATGTCTGAAAATAGAACAACAAAATGAGAAGAAATCGTGTCACCTTGTCAATAAGCATAGTCCAGCATATGTGAATCAATGAACTTAGAACAGTCTGCTTCAGTATTTTTGTTGAATTTTCAATTGCAGTTATTGCAACTTGCAGACAATTGGGCATGCTATTTACAAGGGGGTTATATTCTGTGTATGCACTGTTGACATTGCTGACTTCAATCTTTATTTTGTACGTGAATGTAATTTCGTAGCCTTTTTTTTCCAAACATTTTCAATTGAGAAAAGATCAAGAGTATTTGCTGGCCAATTAGAGCCAAGAAGCTCTAAGTGCATGCTTTTAAACCAATTCTTTGTTTCGCTAGTGTGGAAAGTAATCCATTTTTCTGAAAAAGTGCTTTCCATCTGGATACTATTTGCAAGCGCCAAATCCGAGAGAGGACGCTGTTTTTCAGCCAAGATGGCTACCGAAACAGGTAAGGAACCGACCATGTGTTTGTTCAGTGCCTAAGCCGATTCAGTTTCCATCGATGACGACTACTGCGAGGATCAAATGGAGAAGAAATCATTGAATTTATATCAAATTCTAGACTATATCGGCGACAGGAAACGTTGTCTTGTAGAAGGTGAAGCCGTTTTGGATGCTGGATACATCGTATTTTGTGGATTAAACTCTAACAACACTGAAATTCATGTTGTTGCTTTAGTGTTGCAATCTCAGATATTGTCATTTTAATACATCTCAGTTACAGGAAGAACTCACGTGCAAGGCTATCTGGTTTTTGTAAACATTTGATAGCATGTTTATTACACATTAACAGGTGAGAAGTGTTTAAATATTTTAAGCAGTATACACCATGTTCCAATATAAAAACATAGTTTTATTTATCATAATAGTTAAAATTAGTGCCAATCTGAAGGCTGTCCTGGTGAGTCATTCTGCACTTATGCAACATAAGCTAGTCAAGTTTTTAGCACACATTGTTTTTTTTTGTGTGTGTGTGTACTGTACGTCTTTTTGTTAAAAAAATGAACAATGGTCATCTTTTAAAGCTACAATATAAGCATTGAATATTAGACAAAAGACAAGTTTGCCGTTCAAGAAACGAACAGCTGCAAATTTTTTGTAATAAATTAACTGTGCCTTCTGGTTCACTTATATTTTTTTTAATTCGGCAATGATAAAACAAAATGACGATAAAATACGACGCCCCTATTCACTTTCGAACCATGGTGGATTTACGACGACTGCGTTCCGTCACGTGATTCACTGACGTCACAACCGACGAAAATTACGATTATGCTTGTCTACTAGCTTCTTGACGTCACCAAGTAGGGACATCTCTTGGTAAATAAACAGAACTACGGATACGGAATCGTCTGTAATTAGCCGCCAGTAAAACAATGAAGTCTGTACCATGTGTTGAATAGGATTGTCGCTAGATTTATACGAGAAAAATAGATTCTACATTGTTTTGTTTGCCCTAGATTTGAGATTTAGCTAATTTCTAGATTTTATTTAATTAATCAAAAAAATCACGTTCATAAAAATCCCTAAAAAATCAACATAGTACGTTGTTGATTTTTTTCGGTGTTTTTTTATTTCGCAGAATCTAAGTAGTGTTCTTATTAAAGTTTATTTGTAAAAATGTTTAGAATGGAAAACTACATTTTGACTTTTGTTATGTACCACATTGTTGAAGTTAAAAATATTTCTAAGAACTAATAATTGTGGAAAATGAAAAGGTGTTGCATTTTTCTATCAAAAATAGACAAATGAGACTGATACGTAGAAACTCCACCATTAGGATGTGTACAAATTGTATATTATATCCATCATTCTGGATAACAAAAGTATATTAACATAAAGTAACCTTTTCGTTGTGTTATAGACAATAACTTTAGACACTGACAATAACTTTAGACACACGTCCCGTCCGGACAGTCCGGGAATTGACTCACTGTCCGGATGAACTATTAATTTTGTCCAGGAATTTCTTAGAAATAGTGTAATTATGACGAAACAAAGTTCTTGCAAATTTACACTATTTTAACAACGAAAGAACTCGCACTCACTGAAACTCATCTGCAATTCTGCCATGTTAGCCTGTTTATGCCGACATGTGGCATGCAACCTGTCGTTTTTTTTTTTACCTTGTACGATCGTACACGTCTCCAATAGAGCTAAGTTATCTGTACCTGTTCTTAATTTAGGTTACTTACGTTACTCCTACGCAAGTCCCTAGTCCCTAACTGGAACTGATTTAGAACAGACATGCATGCTGTTCTTTGCATTTTAAAATGACATTGCGCAAGCGTCAGGAACTTCTGTTCGAACAAAGCTGACCTGCCGTCCGGTCAGCGATTTTGAAAAGGTGGCAACATGCACTGAAGCCGTGAGTCCGAAGAGGGATTGGAAAACAATCCGAAATGCATTGTTAAATATGCAAAATAAAGCGAACTATTTTAATCTTGGTCTCCGTAAATGCAGATAATTATGTAAGACAGAATAAGTCTAACTATTGGAAGAAGAAACCTTTACTTATAAACTTTTAAATTATTAGCGAATGGTAAAAGGCTTAACTTTGAAGGTCGTAATAACTTTATAAAAAAAATTGTAAATGTTAATAAGTCCGATCTCTCTCTTGAGATATGACACACCACACTCCTCTATCTCCCCACTTTTAACCACGAAAATTTAGCATCAATGTTCCTTATATACAAGCTATCGTGTATATTAAACAATACACTACGTAGTTCATATGTTACCGCTAAAGCTCGAAATCCGTTAATGTGCACATTACCTAACTAATCTGCACATTAACTAGGGTGATCCGTTAAAGTTGCTAAAATTGTTCTATTTCTCAAATTATCTAGGTAATCTGCAAATTACCTACTAGGCACTCGGTAAAGTGAAAATAAGATTTTTGCTGGAACAACAGCAACGTTTCTGTACGCTTAAATTAACATAATGTTATTTATTTAATTTTCAATATCTAAAGAATCAAGTTAATACAATCAA